CAATTGTCATAATGGCAACAGTTGATGTGGCAATAGTCATCACGGCAACCGTTGCTATAGTTACAGATACCCTGGCAACCATCACTGTAGGAACTATCACCATCAACCGACTCTTAGCATGACAACTGACAGACAATCTTGTGATTCTTGTTTTAATGCGAGTTTCTTGCAACTTCTTCCTTTGGAGGTTGTTTACAGTTCATATTGTCATCACTCAGGCAACTGTTTCCATGACAACAGTTCTACATCTGTTTTATTTCTTGCAACTTAATTTTTGGGACTTTGTAATATACTGTAGTATGATTATGTACTATGTATTAAGTTGTTGCCAATTCAACCACATCACAATTTTTTTTGTATCAGGTTGTACATGTTATGACACATCATGTGTGACTGAAAATAGACAAAAGAGCTCTTTTAACTGGTCACAAATAAGGTACAGTAAGGCAGGGAAAGTTATCCTATGTGTAAACTGTATGGCACAGTTCACACACAAGGCAACTCAAAGTGCTTACCAAGATAGAAACAACCACACAGGGCAATAAAATAAATGATCACAGTACATTCAAAATATTGAAGATAACTAAACAGAACTGCTGACAGGTAAAAATACATTGCATATTTCTGTGCTGTTTGTCTGTTCGTCACCATCATCATTTATATCATTGATATTTTCCCTTCAACGATGGGAGATAATTTTGCCCGTCCAACTCCAAGCCTGCACATCTCGTTATCGGACTTTTAATGCGCTTGTTGCTTTTGCCTCATTGTTCCTTTTACAAGTCTGCCATATAAACTATAATTGGCAGTGTTGATGGATGGCTCCTTCAGTCGGAATGTTTTGAATCAATAGAATATTTTATCTGTGCGCTCATATCCTCAGGGGGTAACTAAACAAGGGCAGTGTTACACGTTTGTAGTTACAATCCTGTGTGTTTGTCTTAACAGCTCGACTACCTGCGTTTACTTTATAATACTGTCGAGTTGCGCTTCAAACTCCTCACAGTTAATGCTAATGTGACTGCATTGATCACAGTTAAAGTGATTTATAGAGACGTCCATGCTTGCTGCCTCTTAGCAACTTTATCGTCCTCTCTCCCCTCGTACGATATTTATCACGTTTGCTTTTGTGAAAGGTAATTTCATCAATTAAAAATCAGCAGGCCAACTATTGATTTGGTGTCACAGCTGCGTCATACATACTGCATACATACTGGAGGGTCTGAGGGGGCCAGAGCAATAGGTTCAACCACTACGAGATGTATTAGATCTCATCTAAAGAAGAAATATTAGGCATTTTTTATTTGGATTTAATTATAATTATTAATTTTCACTACTGTCAAATTCAACTTATACAGTTGCATTGCATATTTATTGTATTTTTGGTATCCAGAACATAACATAACACAATATTTACCAATGTTTTTGTGGCACTGAAAGATCAAGGCTATGCTCACAGTCAGAGAGCAGCCGTCCTCCTGTGGACTCACCACCTGCAGAGGGTCAGTGAGGGGCTGGTGCTATGAGACTTTGTTGGCATCTCTGACTGCCACCCCCCTGACCCAGAAATGGATTAAAGGGTAGAAAATGGATGGATGGATGGTTTTTGTGGGTTTGTTTCTGTGTTTTTCTGTTAATTAGTTATCATCATGTCTCAATCATTTTTGGGATTTTCAGTAAATCTCTGGGATGGAACAAGGAACAAATGTATAAGATTTAGGAGGTCGGGATCCAGGAAATATTTTCTAATAATTGAACACTTTAGTGGAAGTCTGCGCTCTATGACTGACTTTCTGTCACTGTTACTGACAGTAAAAAGAGCTAAAATTGAAAAGAATAACACTCAGAGCAGTCAATGTGACGGCTTTTAGTTTTGGGAGTGTGAATAAAGGGAGTTCTAGTTTATAGTGTCAAATCCTCACTCACAGAGATACTGGACTCTGTCCTCTGCTGATGGTCCTCCTGTTATAACAGTCAGTAAGATCATACTCAGAGCACCTGTTAAACATGCTATTTCCCACTACAACCATTGATAAACCATAAACAGCTCTGGCTTCCATCACAGCAGGCACAGCACATCATTATTTTGATAATGACTTGATGAAGTCATTAGAAGTGCACACTTGATGTTTGTGTGCAGCTTTGATCAAAAGAGAATCCTGTGGTACTGGCGAGGCATGAAGAAGGATCATGCCTCTCTGGGTCTGATCCCTCCTCCATTTTTGCTTGAAGGGAAGAAAATGCATATTATAAAATAAATAAGGCTAATGGTAGCCTTCTACAGATTTATATGACAAGACTAAATATGTTAGTGCTTTATTATACCGCAGTCTTTCTATTTGCTAATTCATAAAGGCCAGATTTGTGTTATTTTGCAAGCCCCACTTTGCTTTATACTGTATTCAAAAATAAAATAAAAGAATGATAATTTTGCTTTCACTAAAAATAACAAATCCTACATAAAATCTGTATGTTTGTGGTTGTAAAATTCTCCCCTTCTACACTATGCAGTTAGTAGTAGAGGTTTCATGGTTTTGTTTAAGGAGCTGGCTCTGACTTTTTTAAATTAGCACAACAAGGAGCATTCAGTCAGTGATAAAGTGACACGTCACACAGTGTTGGGTACTTCAAAAGCAAAGTAATGTGTTACATTACAATATTATTCCATTCTATTCCATTCAATTTTCTTCCGCTTCATCCGTTGCCGGGTCGCGGGGGCAGCAGTCTAAGCAGAGACATCCAGACTTCCCTATCCACACACACTTCCTCCAGCAAGGCGTCCCCAGGCCAGCTGGGAGACATAGTCCCTCCAGCGTGTCCCGGGTCTTCCTCCCGGTTGGACGTGCCCGGAACACCTCCTCAGGGAGGCGTCCAGGATGCCCGAGCCACCTCAACTGGTTCCTCTCGACGTGGAGAAGCAGCGGCTCTACTCCGAGCTCCTCCCGTGTGACTGAGCTCCTCACCCTATCTCTAAGGGAGCGCCCAGCCACTCTGCGGAGGAAGCTCATTTCGACCGCTTGTATCTGCGATCTCGTTCTTTTGGTCATTACCCAAAGCTCATGACCATAGGTGAGGGAGGGAACAAAGATTGACCGGTAAATCGAGAGCATTGCCTTTCGGCTCAGCTCCCTCTTTACCACAACGGTCCGATCACTGCGACCGCATCACTGCGCACGCTGCACCGATCCGCCTGCCAATCTCACACTCGATTCTTCCCTCACTCGTGAACAAGACCCCGAGATACTTGAACTCCTCCACTTGAGGAAGGACCACTCCACCCACCTACCATTACAATATTAGTGTATATAGATATATATATACACCATATATATATGGGAGAGTCTGTCCATAGGACAACAATCAGTCGTGCACTGCACAAATCTGGCCTTTATGGAAGAGTGGCAAGAAGAAAGCCATTTCTCAAAGAAATCCATAAAAGTCTCTTTTAAAGTTTGCCACAAGCCACCTGGGAGACACACAAAACATGTGGAAGAAGGTGCTCTGGTCAGATGAAACCAAAATCGAACTTTTTGGCCACAATGCAAAACGATACAGTATGTTTGGCGTAAAAGCAACACAGCTCATCACCCTGAACACACCATCCCCACCTCAGCTGTAGTTATCTGCAGTTCATCCAGAGTGATCATGGGCCTCTTGGCTGCATCTGTGATCAGTCTTCTCCTTGTTTGAGATGAAAGTTTGGAGCGACGGCCGGGTCTTGGTTGATTTGTAGTGGTCTGATACTCCTTCCATTTCAATATAACTGCTTGCACAGTGCTCCTTGAGATGTTTAACGCTTGGGAAATCTTTCTGTATCCAAATCCGGCTTTAAACTTCTCCACAACAGTATCTCGGACCTGCCTGGTGTGTTCCTTTGTCTTCATGGTTCTCTCTGAACTTTAAACAGAACCCTGAGACTATCAAAGAGAAGGTGCATTTATACGGAGACTTGTTTACACACAGGTGCATTCTATTTATCATCATCAGTCATTTAGGACAACATTGGATCATTCAAAGATCCTCACTGAACTTCTGGAGCGAGTTTGCTGCACTGAAAGTAAAGGGGCCGAATTATATTGCACGCCCCACTTTTCAGTTTTTTATTTGTTAAAAAAGTTTAAATTATCCAATAAATTTCATTCCACTTCACGATTGTGTCCCACTTGTTGTTGATTCATGACAAAAAATGAAAATTGTATATCTTTATGTTTGAAGCCTGAAATGTGGCGAAATGTTGAAAGGTTCAAGGGGGCCGAATACTTTCGCACTGTATATATAAAAAATCTCACCTTTCGCCCTCCGCGGGCGGTTATCCCTCTCTAAGCTTGGGTCCTGGGCCTGGGAGCTTGAGGGTTCTGCGCAGTATCTTTTGCTGTTCCTAGCACTGCACATTTCTGCACACACACACATATATGTATATATATATATATATATATATACATACAGGACTAAATGAAGCTTATTTTGCTATTACGTGAGGTTAATAGAGCTTTTAGTTTGACACATAAAGTGCACTTAACTGTTTTGTTCCATAATAATGGGAGTATGTCAATCTGTAAAATGTACTATTGTCTGACTTAGTGCCTGCTTCAGCTTCATTGTCTACCTGAAAGATAAAACACTTTGTGGCTGCTATTTCTGTGGATTCGGTCATCACTGCTGATCTTGCGGTGGCATAGTGCAAAAACAAAACACTACTTAATTTTGAAATGCGCACATTACTGACCTTTGTACAGTTTTTTCACTGCGTTACAGCAAACGGCAATACATTACAGTTACTTTTGTAATGTATTACTCCCAACTCTGCCCATACATTACTACAGTATTTTAATATGACCGCAATATTATGATGTGCAGCATTACATTACTTCCTGATTAATCTGAACACAGCAGGAATGTGTCAAACACTACACTACTTCATCATGATGTAAAGCTTGAGGAGTCATGTGTCCTGTTGTCCATGGCTATATGCATCATATCTATGGGAATGTGTTCCGTAGGCGTTCAGTGTGGTGTTCCAGAAGGCAGTGGAGAGAGCAGCTCCAGACGAGGCCCTCCCACAGCGGGTGTCCAACCTCCTCCACAGCATCACCTGCTTTGTGTTCCAGTATACCACCAGGGGGCTCTTCGAGTGCGACAAGCTCACCTACACAGCCCAGCTCGCCTTCCAGGTGACCAAGCCCTTATTCAAGGTCATTCCACAAGCGCTCAAACATTTTGGAGCAGTCATGGAAAAGTCATCGGAATCCTTGAATCATGTGATCTTTGTTCTTTCATCAAAAATCATTTCATCATTGTTTTAAGCTCCATCCACCCTAACCCTATGCTACTCTTTCCACTTTACACCATGAGCTTCAAAAGCATTACCTCTCTTAATTCTCAAATCAAATTATGTCTACGCCATTTGACTTGACTGCGTGCCATGTTATGTTTAGACCAGTGGAGGGCAAACCCCAGCCCGTGGGCCAGATGCGGCCCTTTGGGCGTATCTATCAGGCCCCTGAGTCCTCCTCAGTATAGCAGATATAGTAAAAATGTAAAAACCGTCTGTGCTGCGTGCAGAGCCACGGTTGCACTCCTCGCTTTGTTGCAATATATAATATAATATTTATTATGATATATTTGTGTGTAAAATATTGAGTCTTGAGAAAAACATCTGAAATTAGATTTGGACCCCGGCAGAAGTCTGGTATTTCAATGTAGCTCTAGAGCAGGGGTGCTCAATACGTCGATCGCGATCTACCAGTCGATCGCAAAGGTAGTATTGGTAGATCGCATTAAATAAATACAAAATTACACATTCTAAACGAATATATACAAAAAACTCCGGGCAAAGTGGAGATTTTTGAAAACTCCTTTAATGCATTTGTGTGTAAACAGAGATAACCAGAGTTTTGCGTTCTCGCACGCCACAGTACCCCCCTAAATTCCTCTGATCACTGAAGCATGGATCATACTACCTTAAAAACTGTTCGCTGTGAGATGCTCGCAGCAGCGAACATCCTTGCTCCACATCAGAGGGCAGCAAAGTGATCGGACTCACGCTCGAAAACAACTAAACCAGGACTAAACCAGGACTAAACCAGGACTAAACCAGGACTAAACCAGGGCTGAGGACGGGGTCAGTGCTTGTAAACATATGTCTTTACTCTGAGTGTCTTCTATGACTGTAAAAGTGCCGTTACCGGCGTCTGCATCAGAACTCCGCCCACTTCTGTGTTTTTCCCCAACGCAGGACAGGACGTAAGAGACGCACATGTTTGGAATGTTACGAATGTGATTGATAACGCAGATGTGTGGATGCAAATTATTTTATAAACGGAAGAGGGGAAATATTTGGATTTTTAAAAAACAGGCATGGCACATGGACATGGCACCACAGTCAAATGACATTTGTGTTTTACTCAGTAATGTTTTACTGACACTGAGGTGACTGCACATGCGCAAACAACCGCGCTCAGTGCAGGAAAGCTAAACAACGACAAACTTGTCAGCGAGTTACCAACAATTTTCCGGACTATGCATCCCTGGCCGATTCAATTCAGTGCAAGTCATAAGAGTAAACTCGGGTAATGACAAAAAATGTACATAGGTAATTGTGTTGTGTTGTGCTATATTGGCTCATGCAGTTTTGCATGAACATAAACATACATTGTAGATATAAAGAATATTTTTAGAAATATATGATTTGCATTTTTGTAGTAGGTAGATCATTTTGACTTGATCCTTTTATAAGTAGCTCGCATGCTGAAAAAGTGTGAGCACCCCTGCTCTAGAGGGTGTGTTGGCTTTGTTTAGTCGTCTCATCAACCAATTGTCTTTTCTTCTTAAAAATGTCTTCATATTCTAAATCAAGGGTCCTGTAAAGAACCTCTGGCCTTTAAGTTATGACATTTATTTGACCTAAAATTGTTGAGTAATGCAGGAATACTGTGCAGTATAGTGGTATATTATGCATGTGTGTTCTCCATGATTGGCTGTAGGTATTACACACTGTAGACTACAATTTTATTATAACTCTTAAAGGAATATTTCTGTTGCCATTTCTGTTTTATAAAATTAGCTCTCCAATCGAAATAAGTTTGAGACCCCTGTTCTAAATCATGATATGCCAAAGTTCGAGACCATAGTTTGCTTTCTGTCATTTGCTCTCTTCCCACTTTTCCTGTACTTAGTTACCGCAGTGAAACTCAAATCATGTGTTTAGAAAACTCACAAAGACCATGAAGTTACTAATGAGCTGTATTCATCATAAGACACGAGAAACCTCTTATATGTATAAAGTGCAATTTTTTTAAGTGTAAAGCTTGCTTGTTTGTCAGATCCTGTTGATGAACAAAGAAGTGGACCCTCTGGAGCTGGACTTCCTTCTGCGGTACCCAGTGCTGCCTGGTGTGAGCTCGCCTGTGGACTTCCTGTCCCACCACTGCTGGGGTGGAGTCAAGGTACACAACAATTAAAAACGTCTACAGCTGATTATGCAAGAAAATGGCTTAATGAGGTTTCAGAGATGAGGAATACCAAGGGCACAACAAATGTTCTTGAATGGGACCACTTCGACTCTACGTTTTCTGCTGAACATAGAGCTGCACAGAGACCTATTACGCCGCTGAATTAAAATGCCACGCTATCAGTACTGTGATGATGGGCTTTAGATGGGATTGACGGAGCTCATTTTGGTCACTGGGGAAAAAACAGGCCTCCAAACAGCCTTGGCAAATGCATTCGTTTTGAGCACATTACAGGTCTAACATGTCTTGTCAAAACCATGAATGGAATAAGCTGAAGTCTGCAGTGCACAGTGTGGGACTCTAAGGTTTGGGTGTGTCCAATTTCTACTAATATGAGCAGAGAAGGAAAGGAACGATTAAATTATTTCCAAAAGGCATGGAGATGATAGCCTCTGCCAGACCCTTGTAGTTCCGCCATGCTCCACCAGAGGCGTTTGGCTGAACCACATGGGTTTGGTATCGAGCCCATAGCGAACGCCTTCCCCAGATTATTTTTTAATCGACCAATCAGGATTGCCGGTGTTACGTGGGGTTTGCACTGCCTTCAAGCTTCTCTCATGCAGCAGCGAGAGGAATCCAAGATGGCGGACGTAAAGTCCGCAAATCTTTTTAAAAGAGTAAATACGATCGAATTAAGACACGGATGTCACTTTTAATGCAATTTGAGGCAAGATGTTAATGGTTCTATGTTGATATATGTGTGTTTTAAGAGTATATGTGTTCCTGTAAAGTTTGATTGTGCACTGGTTCAGTGTTCCTGTTTACACACTATGCAGCAGGGTTGCCAGGTTTGGTGGTTCCCGCATATTTTTTTCCAAGATACTTGTAGGTATTAAATAAACAGAAAGACAATAAACAGAATCATAATAGCCCAAGTTGATTACATTACGTTTTTAGGTTTTTTTGTGTGGGTATTCTCGCGGATTTTGGGTTGGAAAATCTTGCTGGGATTTGGCAACCTATGGGAGCCGTGTGCTTCGATGTGAGTGGTTGAAAGCAGACTTTATTCAAGATAACGGACAAGTGGTCTATCCAATCACATACAAGGATTTTTTTACAAGGCCCTGCCTTCTGAAATCCAACCACTATGGCTCAGTACCAGACTCATGTGTGAAGTGCAGCAAACTACATGGGTCTGGTGAGAGTCAGGCTATGGAGATGACGCAATTCTATGACAATAAACAATCCCCTTTGATAGAACCTGAGGCCTCATTGCCGTGGTCATAGTCAGTGTTTGTCACATTACTTAAAAAAATGAATTAGTTATGGTTACTTCTCCCCAAAAGTAATTGTGCCATTAACTTCAATACTGGGTGGGGAAAAAAGTAACTAGATACCAGATGAAGCTGCCAGAGACGGGTGGTTTTCATTTTCTACATGTCTATGTGTTTTTGTTTGGTACTTTTGTTAGGTTATTATTATTTTAATGGTTTGTAATTGTTTTCCCATTGAGCTTTTGTGTATGTGTGTGTGTGTGTGTGCGTGTCTCTCTGTCTGCCGGTCTGTCTGTCTGTTTGTCTGTCTGTCTGTGTGAGAGGATGTATGTGTGTTTGTTTGTGGTTGTGTGTGTGCGTGTGTGTGTGTGTGTGTGGTTGCATGTGTGTCTGTGCGTGTTTGTATTGGTGAGAATATGTATGCGTTTATGTGTGTGTTTTTGTGTGAGATGATGTGTGTGTGTATGAGAGCATGTGTGTGAGAGGATTGTGTGTGTGTGTGCGTGTTTGTTTGTTAGAGGTTGTGTGCATGTGTGTGTATGAGAGGATGTACTGTATGTGTGTATTATAAAAGTTGAATGTAAAAATGTGTGTGTACTAATTTTTGAGAAGACCCCAGGAAGAACAGCAACTGCACCTCAGCAGCTAATGGGGATAAACAAAACTAACACTGTTAAATCCAAACTCCATCATTCTCTTACACCAATCATTTAACACGATTTATTCAACATTTCTCATTAGGAAAGACCAGAGGCAGATTTTCACAGCTTTAGAAAAATCCAGAAATGTTGAACTGGGATTGATCCAAGCCATTCACTTACCGGTACTTTACTTGGTTTTCAGTATTCCCCATTTTCACTTACCACATGTGTACCATGTATCTGATACTTGTCTTAAACTATGGGTAAAAATAGGCACATCACCTGTTTCCCAGAGGACAGAAGGATAAAGAAACAGCGGGATATAGGCACGGAGCCACAGCAGCCGATCAGTCTTTCTGCTTTGCACTTTTTCTGCATATTCAGCAATAATATTCAGATAATGTGTTTTTTTTCTCCGTCTTTTTCCTAAGGCTTCAATCGTGTTTCAAACAGCGTGGCACCCCAAAAAAAATTGAGAACGGCTTGAAAGTATGAAAATTGCGCCGTTGGCAGATAGAACTGGCAATGTGAAAAATAATGAGACAACAGAGCCACAATGCAGCAATTAAATGTTTACAAAGAAATGACTGTTGTTGGAGCTAATACTGTCTAATCTACATGAACATACACCCGCTTTATATGAAATACCCTTTAAAGAGACACTTTTTAAATAGATATTTTCAGATGTTTTGTTTTGGAAGTGCAATTACTCGACCATCGTACATTTTGGTCTTCTTTTAATGTTTCTTGATGTAGTTTAAAGCAGTATGTAATTATGTTTATGAAATGATCTTGATCCTAGACTGGTCCTAAACAGGTAGTCACAGCTACAGGGCCTTTCTGAGTGGAGTTTGCATGTTCTCCCCGTACCTGCGTAGGTTTCCTCCAGGTACTCCGGTTTCCCCTACCACTAAAAACATGTACAATAGTTCTGGCATGCGCCTCCTGTACTGGCGACCCCACTCCCATCTCTGTTAGGAGTGAGTGGACAAATGCTCAAAAATAACAATTGTAAAACCGCTTTGTGACTCTGGTCTGTGAAAGGCGGTATATAAATAAAGATGACTTACTTACTTACTTATATTAACCAGATTATCTTGAAATGAGCTGATTTCAAGATAGACACCGAATGTCTTAATGTTAATAGTAGTGAAAACTAAAGCTAATTTGAATGGGAGCCGTCAAAATGACTGCTCTGGGAGTTCAAGTGTTAATATTATAATGCATTGGAATTTGAGCTTGAAGAAAAATTCTACTGATCGCTGACTTAATTTTTAGCATTTGAGGCTTTTGATGTGAAACATTTATGCTGACAATGTGCAAAGAGGCAGATTGACACAGTTTTTGTCTTCTTTAAGTTTATTCCTATAATTAACCTAAACATCGGGTCCTAACTTTTCAATCATAAAAAAGAAACTGTGTAATATAAACTGTTCCTCGCTCTCAAAACAGTTTGGTTCAATCCCAAGTTTTCACAGGTGTTTTTGGGCTCACATCTTAAGCTCACCTTACAAAGCCACTTTGCCTCATACCCTCATTCTAACATGCACAGATGTATACATACAACTGCACTAGAATATACAGTACCTTCTTTAATATAATAGAGTTAGATATATTATACTTGCTTCTTTATTAGGCTACAGTTACAGATTGCATTTTATATTAGAGGTATTGTTAACTTATACTTTGAAAAGTAAAATAAAATCTCTATTTTTAGCGAAATAACTGCTTCTTATGGACCAATGGCTCAACTGTACGTGTTTATTATCATTGCCTGTGTTTGAGCTGGTTTCTCTGATCTGCGTTGGCGAATCGACAGCTTTGTAAAGTCCTCCGAGATAGTACCCTCAGTGCTGTCGTGATTTAGGGCTGCACACAAATACATGGAATTGTATTGGAGTATAGTGCTGTGTGCTCCTGATTCCTACTGTTCTGTAATTGATGATGCAACTCTGACTTTGGATCTCTTCAATAATCTTCTATCACCTTTCTCAGACAGAAAAGAGAGGCCCACACTCGATCAGTCAAATAGTTACAACATTTACAAGTTCTGGATCACATTAACATTGTAGAGTTGGTGACCAAGGCCTTCCAGGTTGGTACAACTCAACTTAAGTCAGTATCTAGGATGTTTGCAATTACAAGTTTGAAGCATTTTAGTCACCCGTCTCTTGGATTTGCATTTTCCACTTCAGGCCATGCCACAGGAGAAAAAACAACTACGATGATTGGCATTGGTGTGTTGATTCTAGAGCAGTAAATTAGACTTTAAGATGAGAGAAATGCCAGTAGGCTCTGTAGGTATCAGGTGTATGGCAGAGCATTTGATACGGGTTCTGTGGGTTGCCAAGAAGAGATGCACGAGAATGAAGTTAAGATGCAAACATTACTCTTAGAAAAGAAATAAAAAAGACTAAAATTATCTCTAAAAGTTTCTCACTGGAGTTTAAATCTTAAATTGTTCGAAGCCGTTGCTTGTAGCGCCTGCTTCCATTTCCCCTTTGTAACACTATTCCATAACAATTAGGTTTTAGGATTGATAAACGCAAAGGGGCGGAATTGACTGATGCAGAAAATGAAAATGTGTGGTTAGAGCTTGTGCTGAATGTTGAGAGGGAAAGCTGTGTAAAGTTTGAAAAAAATTATATTGGACTTTATTATTTATTCATTTTCTTATTTTGTAGTGAAAAAGAATGACAATTACAACAATAATGATGATAATAAGGAATCAGAATTAACACATAACAATGAGCAAACCAATCCATGAAGATCAGATCTTTTTAGTCAAAAGTATCATTGTTTTGGTAAAGATTATCATCCTTTCATTTTGGAGGGAAAAAAATTCCATTTTAGGGCAAGCTCATGAGTAGCAATATAAATTAGATCCAATCATTCGTAGGCTCATATTTGGGCTCAAACTCGCCTCCTCACACGGAAGAAAAATTTGACCAAAAACAAAAAGTCACAAGGAAAAAACACCAATAAAGTACTCTTATCTGAGTGCAAACAATTTCCTGTTCACTATTAAGTAGACTCTAATCAAGTCTCAGTTTGATTGATGGTCCCAGAGTTTTGTTAA